TATTTGTTTGTTTAGCTCTAACAAAAATAATTTATATCTATTGAGTATATTCAATAAGCTATCAATGGCCTAGTGGCCTAGAATATTTTATTACCACCTTACTAAAAAACATAGATTTCACATACATTTTGTGCATACATAAACGGGCTTAAAACTTTCATCCATTTGTTTTTTGTCGCTTTCATTATAATTCCCATCCTATATCACTATCGTAGCATCTCAAAAAATATTATTTGAGACCATGTTCAGTGCTGTCTGTGATGTCTCCATCTCCCCCTGGAAATCTTCAGTCGCAGGCGTCTAGGTCTGGGAATACGTTGACCGCGGCAGCAGCAGGTCTGTGGAACTGTGGGAGTATTCCCCAGATATTTTACGTTTGGCCAACAATTTGCTGCAAATATTCTGCTATATTTTTTGGCATGGTTGAAAATCAGCGAAAAGCCAAAGAATGTCCAAGCAAATATGTGGTCAAAAGCAATGAGAACTAACACAACTGAAACCAGAATATATATTAGCTGTCGAAATTCGAAATTCCTGAACCAAATTCTTAAAATATTTTCTCAATATATGGAAAAGCTAAACAGAGCTGAATTAGCTGGTAATAGAAAAATTATAGAGCGCAGTTATATACGCTCAGCCGTTTTTCATTGAATTGACATACATACATACATATATGTATGTACATATAATATATTTTGATATATTATGAAATATTTATATTGTTAACACCGCGTTCTTCATATGCCAATTAAGCCCTGCTACGAAAACTGATTTAGTTCAGGTTTATAAAACTATAGTCTAAAGTAGAAGAGATGAGAATTTTGGCCTGCCTTTGACTAACAGATGCTCGAAAATGTAATTGCCTAACAGCTGCTGCCTATGTTGCTCATATACTCCTTTATTCCCATCTTATGTTACACAGGTTCGCAATTCTTAAAACTGTCACCAAATCCATGTTTTAGGATATTATTTATCATTTCTATGTTCATGCGTGTCTCAAGCTTAAATTACGCTCGAGCATTATTTATGAAGCTGGAATAACAACATAGAAAAATGCGTTTATGTGGTAAGAGATTTATGTAGTTTTTGTTTTCGATTTGGCGCACAGTAACGGTAACCAGGGTAACTTGGTGGATTTTTATCTCTAGACTTCAGCTATATTTTAAGTAAATTTAAATAAATTTAAGCTCATCTTCTAGCCAAAAAAGTCATGTGCAGACGTGTTTCATTAGAATTGCATTCAAAATCTGCTCAGACTTTTAAATTGACACAACATGTTGTTGTTTACCTTAGACATTGCTCTGATATTGTCTCTGAGCATTTTTACTTTGCTTGATTTTAGTTATTTTGTTATTTTAGCTATTTTTGTATTCTATTTTTTCAAAGCACTCAACAGCCACACACCTGAGCTAGAAGAGGGACAGCAACAAATTGAATTTGTTTACTCACAGACTCAACACACAAATACACACAAACAAGTTTAGCATACAGTTGGCAAGTTGTGATAATAAAGCGTCTTGAATGTTTATAAAATTCAATTTAGTTGCCAGAGACAGAGAGAGAGAGAGAGAGAGAGAGAGAGAAGAGCTGCTCAAGCATCTACCTGAGAGTCAGAGCCTTTGTGCTTAGTTTTTGCTTAGCATATTTTGTACAGCTTTAAGGAGAAAAAACTAATCCCCGACAACAATCTGGCAAAATGCAACCAGCTGGCTTTTGATATGTTCAGCTGCAGCAGGGCTAAGAAAGAAACCCAAGCCCCGAAATGAGACAAGTTTCGAGCAGCCATATTAAAAATTCCTTCGACAAAGTTTACTCTTTACTTTGCTCCTTATTGCGGCTTTGTTTGGCCAAAAGTTTTGTCTCTGCACTCACTGATTGCTATCCCTCTAGCTCTATCTCTGTCTCTGTCGATTATACTTTGGATACTCAACATTTTTCGTGGTCATACTTGGGGCAATATACGGAAATGAATGTGATTAGATGCAAAAATGATGTGCCAAAAGGAAGGAGGGAAAACCACTTCGACAGGTAAATTCTCGGGCCAACATGGCGTATGTGGAATGATCTGTGTCGCTTGTGTTTGCCTCGAGCTAAACATAATGCAAACGTCTCTTCTTGTGTATATTATATCTGTGGATTGTCGAACCAGAGTTTGTAAGGCAGGCGACCAACATAATTTAATCTAATTGTTTGTGTGACATATGTGTGGCAATGTCTCCATGATTGCCGAAGTTTGACTACGTTTGAATTTAAATTGAAATTGTGGACTTTCTTTGCCTGCTAAGCCAGACAAATGTCTTGAGAAACTGCTTTGAAATGCCTCGCATTAGTTGTGAGAAAGCCCTGCAGCTGTCTAGTTTGATTAATATAACTTGAGATATGGGGAAATATTTTCCAAATTGATGTGAGACAGCTGCTGTCTTTGAATTTGCTTACGCATGTGGCCAGCTCTGAGCTCCATGTCGGCTTTCAGTTAAAAGCCGCTTTGCCTATAAAACAGACATTTCGGCATTTTTGCCAATGCATCATAAATATTTACATAGCCCTAGCTGAAGTGCACTGAGGCATGCAGCACGATGATGGCCTGTGGCTCCGCTGCCTCCTGCTGATCTGCACACTTGACTGGCTAAACTGGATTTGGGATGACTTCACTATATAATAAAATGTAATCATAAATTAATTCAAATGAAATTTGAAATTTTATGCGCATTGTGCTTTATGCCCGGCAGGACCTTTTGACAGACAGCTCAGTAGTTGGGCATATTTGCTTTTTATTTTTATTTTTATTTTTATTTATTTTGTTGTTGCTCCTTAGTTTCCATTGAGCTTCAACCAAGCTGAACTCATGGGTAAACCACACACACACACACTCGCTCAGTGCCTTTCCACATTTTATTGGGTGCTTGCCTATTGAACGGGCTCAACGACCCTAAAGGTTGTCCAAGCATTCACAAACACAAACAAATCCCGATACTTTGTTTAAGGCGCTGCAGCCCTGGCGTATAGCCCAGGGCTTTGCCATAACGAAGCATTTAAGTGACGGCTGCCAATGTCCTTTCGCTCTCTGCTCGAGCACCTTGCCACGTTGCCAGGCTCAATCACCAGGGAGCTCAGAACAATGGCCAGTTGACACATTTGTGTAACTTGCGGCACTTGCAGACGACCCTCATTAGCTCAGCTTCAAGGCGAATGTCGAACAGCTCTCACAACTCTCCAAATGGTCAGACAGTTTCCTATTTTCTTTCAACACAAACGACATTAATATTTATTAACAGGTTTCAGTTTCCACTACGTGGGAGTCTATATAATGTATGCTATATATAACATGTAGTCGAGATGCTCTTTGATTGAGGCATGTCTGATGTACATATATATGCATCGATTTTGGAATTACATTGACATACGTTATAACTCGCTCAGATTTTGATTTCATATGCGATTTATTCGAGTCACTTAAATAATAAATAAACTTTTGCTGCTTATGCTGACTCTGTAAGGGCTTATTAGTATAATTTAGGCAATAATTCTCTTTTGATTTTTGATTGATTTTTCTATGCTTATTCACGCTGTGAAGTGAGTATATTGATTTTGTATAATCGGGAATCTGATATGGATACATATGTGATTAATTAGCTGCATCTTCTACAGCAGATCTACAGCAGAAACTCAAAATTAAATTGACATATATATATTATATATACATATACATAAATATATTATTATGGTTTAGAATATTTTAATCAGGAATGAGTATTCTGCAGTCGATAGCACACCATTTCAAAGCTCTTACGTGCTTTGATAAGGTTAAGGCAGTTAAATGCATGAATGAATATATGTATATAAATACAAGTTTATATATAAAGCAGTCAACTTCATGTCACTCAAATGCCACAGAGTGAAACAGAAGCCTCTCAGCTATGCAACGATTATGATAAATGATTTTTACACACATAATTATGTGGGTGTTGGTGTCGCCGCGAAGGCCTTAAAGGGGCCCTGGGCACATCCGTCTGCCACACGTGTGATTTCGCGCAATGTTGAATAATGAGCTCTGAAGCGTTGAGCCGTATATTCTACGGCCCGTTGCAGTGCGAATGCCCAGCACTGCGGTTGGGCCGTTAAGCTTGTTGACCTTTTCCCCATGTTGTGTGTGCTCTCTTCTTCTTCAACTTCCTTTTTTTTTAATTTTTGGTGGCTCAAATGCTCGGCGGTGCCGTCAGGCATGTTAATATTGTGACCTGCATTATTGATGGTCCGCCCAAGGGCCAATGTAAACCAATATGAATGTGAGACATTCCAAGCCAAGGACCTCGTCGCAGTTTGAGTGAAAGTGAAAATAAACAAAGCTGCAAAGAAATATGCAAATCACTCAACACAAATTTCTGACATTCCAGACAATTTGAACCTCGCCTGAATTGCCACTCAAATGAATTTTACAGCAAAAAGACCAAAGTCATCATGCGAGTGCGAACCGTTCATAGCAGAATAACCTTTTCACCTTTCACCTTTGCGCTATGAAATCTGTTCAAAATATTTCACAACTTGCGGACTTGCAAGTGTTTTAGAAGCCAAGTATTTTTCACCTGGGAGTTTGACTTTAAATTTGCATTTTTTTTTTAGCCCGTCAACACATTTCTGTGAGGCCCTTCACCTCATGAATTGTTGAGAATTTTTGATTGTGTCATTTCCGGGTCGATGCACAGCTTTGAGTGGGTCTGTTTACTTTTGAAATGTCTGGACACATGTTATATTTAGAGTGGTACAAATATAATATTTAAGTATTTTGTTATCAACAAAAAGAAAAACAAGACAAGAGAACATGAACATTCATTAGTTTAATAGCTTTTGAAAATATAAAAACAGCTCCCAAGCTGAGACATAGTTCAGTTCGTGAAAATGTTGACAACGTCAGTGTGGATAAATTACTATGGTGAGGCTGAATTGTTGCTGGCTTTTGCTAACGAAATGTCTGATGATGTATTTACCATGGAATAGCACTTCATATATGGCTCATACTCTACTCTGTGCACCCAATATTCACGTCGAGTGTCAGGAAGTGCCTCGAAGGAACTGTTAAGTCTCATGCCGCAGACTGTTCTAGATATTGGCAATGCCTAAATGGGGAAACTCTCATGCAAAGCTGTCCCACTCAAAGCTACTTTGATCCAGTGTGGGAGGTGTGCGTCATCGATGTGAATGGAATATGTGTGGCAGCAGCTGCGCAATGTACGGATGGTCGAATTGAAGTGAGTCCTGGCAATAGTTGCGGTTACTTTCGATGCCTAAATGGCAAACTAGAAGAGGAAAAATGTCCATCGGGCAGCTACTTCAATGTAAGTCTGAAGATCTGCGCGATCGATGAGAATGGAATTTGCAATCCTAGGAATGAAACGTGTACGGAAGGTTTTGTTCAAGCTGACCCTAGGAGCTGTGCTGGCTATCTGAAATGTGTTGATGGACGTCTGGTTGAAGAGAAGTGCACGATGGGAAGCTATTTCAACGCTGATTTTAAGGTCTGCGAGATCGATGAGAATGGTAGCTGCATTCCTAAGGAGAGAAAGTGCACAGAAGGTTCCTTAGAAGAGGATCCAGATGACTGTGGCGGTTATCTCAGATGTGTTGACGGCAGACTGGTCGAAGAAAAGTGTGCCAAAGGTAGTTTCTTCAATGCTGAATTAAAGATCTGCGAGATCGATGAGAACGGAATTTGCATTCCCCAAAGCGAGAGGTGTACGGAAGGCTCTTTAAAAGAAGATCCTGAAGACTGTGCAGGTTACCTCAAATGCATTGATGGTATCTTGGTCAAAGAGAAATGTGCGAAGGGAAGTTTTTTCAATCCTAAATTAAAGATCTGCGAGATCGATGAGGATGGTATTTGTGATGGCAAGTGTAGCGAAGGTTCTTTACAAGCGGATCCTAAGGACTGTTCGGGTTATCTCATGTGTGTCGATGGAAATCTAATAGAAAAGAAGTGTGCCAAAGGAAGTTTTTTCAATGCTGCATTGAAGATTTGCGAGATCGATGAGAATGGAATCTGCGATCCCAATGATGACAAGTGTATCGAAGGGTCTTTGGAAGCAGATCCTATGGACTGTTCAGGCTATCTCATATGTGTCGATGGAAATCTAATAGAAGAGAAGTGTGCCAAAGGAAGTTTTTTCAATGCTGCCTTGAAGATCTGTGAAATCGATGTGAATGGGGTCTGTATTCGTAGTCTTGAAAGATGTTCTGAGAATGAACTTGGAGAGATTCCCGAAAATAAATGTGGATATATCAGGTGTACATACGGAAACCTAATACAGTTCGATTGCTCAAAAGGAAGGTATTACAATTCAAGCTTAGAAGCCTGTGTCATTGATGAGAATGGACTTTGTGCTGGAGTTAAGGAATGTGAAAATAGTGAGACAAGAATCGATCCCGACGACTGTGCTGGCTACTTGCAGTGCATCGATGGCAAAATGGTTAAAAGGCTCTGCTCTTATGGCAGCTACTACCACACAGCACTGCATAGATGCGTAGTGGACGACGAAGGAACTTGTGTGCCCCTATGGGATCATTGCAAGGAAGGTGAGCGGGAGGCTGATCCTGAGGACTCTGTCTCCTATCTGGAGTGCATCGATGGCGACTTTATGCCACAGAGATGTGAAAATGGCAGCTACTTCAGTGCAGACACCAAATCCTGCATTGTGGACGTGCTAGGTGACTAGGTGGAACTATACCCTGTACCTAACCTTTATACTATGAATGCTATTTAATAAATAATGAAGTGCCTAAGTAGATTATTTATACACAAATACACAATTGTCCCTCGGCATTGTTAATAGAAACTTGTGGTATCATATGCCACACAGCGCCGAGGGCAAACTTTTAGTTGGCTTTGCACTTGGAACAGCTGCGACTTTTTTGGGTTAATGGTATAAAAGAATTACGACATTTGCTCCTAATTGAATGGCTTTAATGAACTGTTAGCATACAAAAACCTAACTTTTTTCTGGCGGGCATTTCTTTATATTCGGCGCATTAACGAGGGCAGATTGACGTGTCTGAGTGCTAATTAGGAATAATAAGATTCGAGTTTCTTTCTCATATGGCAGGAAAGAAGAAGATAGAGAGAGAGAGAAATACGTGACGAATAACATGTTGTCCCAGGGCTACAGATTAAATCTCTCCACTCTTAATTAAGGTTATTCCCGCTGTGCTTGCAATAGGAGACATCAAAGCGTTTTCGATTACAGCGAGAACTCCGTAATTAATGCCGGACACAAATTTTCGATTACATCAGGTAAGAGAAGGAGAGAGAATGAGAAAGAAAATATCTTAGATATTGAACTAAAAGCGAACGCAATATAAAATATACATTTTCTCTTAAGGGCTCTATATCCGACAGACCCTTTGAAGCCCACTCACAATATGGAGGAAGTTTTAGCTACGGGCGTGGCATCCTAAGCGCACATCAAAGGGCATCTGCTGCAATTAAATTTGCTTCGATTTCATGCTCGCTTTATTGATGAATTTAGAAGACTTTGCCTCTGCCCATTCCTGGGTCGATTAGTCCTCTTACATGTTTATTGTGGAATTGACGAATATTAAATTCAGGATATAAATGTTCGTCTTGCGTCCGTTGTCTTTGTCTCCCTCGGGAGCAGGTGTCGGTGTCGTTTCGATTCCCGGAGGGGTAGCGGCACTGGTGCTGTCGCTTATCACCTCGCTGGGCGTATTTGTTGTTGTCTCCACAACAATTGTCGTGGGCTGCAGTGTCGTTGTTGTGTCCTCAACACCGGAGTCACCCAATCCATATGGCGATTGCTTGTTAACGGGCACATAGAAGTCGCCCACGGCAATAAGTTCATTTTCGCTAGCACCCATCTTCACGGTGCTGTAGGTGCTGCCGCAATCCTTATTATGAGCCTGCTGATAGGACGAGCACTTGATGGTTGGAAAGTTGTTCATTCGCAGTGATTCGACGTAGTACGACACAGCGCGTGTGTGGGCGCAGCTGCCGGTTAAATCGATTCCACAGCCTGGCTGGGATTTACCGCCATTCGGATAGAAGGCAGCGCGTCCGATGGGCTTGTTGAAGCCCAGTGTGCCTCCATTGGTCTGAATGGTCTCCACGTAATACGCATCGTTGCTGGACAAACGCTTCTCTGGCTTGTCGTAGCTGAACAGGGGCGAGGCGGGGTCCAGACCCACCACCTTTTGCACGCTGCCAGTGGTCACCTGTTTGGCGGTAAAGCCGGCCACATGTGCACCCAGGCTGAAGCCCACCACCTCGAGCGTTTCCAAGGACATGCCGTACTCGATGACCAAAAAGTCCACCAGGCGAGCAATTTTTTCGCCCGCTCCCGCCACCGCTGCCACGGAGGAGGCATACTCCAGCGAGCGACCACGTGCCCAGTCTACAGCAATCATATTATAGTCGCCGGACAGGAACCAGGCATTGCGCACGCCACTGTTGACACCGTCCTGGTAATTGGAGTTCCAGCCGTGTATGGTGAATCTATAAATGAAACGGAACTATAAAAGTGCACTGAATCACGGAGCGTAAGCTCACCTAGTCGGATTGGCGGCATCAAAATTGGATGCATCAATGGATGCCTTGGTGGCCTGGATGAGCTGTCCCTCCGTCGGATTACGTTGCGTGTACAGGTAGAAGCTAACCGCGTTCAGGGACAAACGCTGAGCGATCTCCATAGTATTGAGGCTTTCATATGCCTCCAGTAGACCTTCAGCCTCCTCCAGGCTCATCCATTTGGATTCAGCGCCCAGCTGTGGCACGTACCAGCCATTCTCGCCATGGATGCGCGTTGTTTGCTCCTCAAGGGGCAGCGCACTGACTAAAGTCGTGACTTCTGAGTTGTAGTTTAATCGAAGGTGCAAAGTACTCACCAGCTAGCACGCAAACAGTTAGGAATACAATCAAATTCATGTCTAACGTCTATTGACACATCTCACGTCTTTATATAGACTTTTTTTGCCAATTCGATCGGCTACTGTAAATTAAATAGATTGGAAAGCAGATTAGATTTGTAGTCATAATCATTCAGCAAATTTTTTGTATCGCAAAGACAGTGTACAAAATTCTGCATTCGAACTAAAACATATATGAATGTTTCGTTGCTTTTATTGATTCAATTGATGATAAAGAACAAATCAATTTTTTACTGTGCAGACACATATCTTTGAGTGTAAATCACTTTGAAAAGTATGAGTCAACTCACTCCACTCAAAGCTTTGAGTTGAGTAAAAGCTCCGATAATAACTATATAATAAATTATAGCAGTAGCAACTAGAGAATACTCTATATGAGATTTGAAATAGTTACAGATGGGATGTATTATCATCAAAGACAAAATGATCCAATCTTTGGTTTGGTATTAATACACACACTTTTATGCTCATTCTCCATCTGAATTGAGTATATATATTAAATATTATGTTCTATTGCTTTCACTCATGAGGGTCTGACTATATTCACTTATTCTGTAATACATATTTGTATCCCCATAAATCATAAAGATGAGCAAATTCGGAAGCGTTTTGTACGTGAATGAGGATTCTGCTCGACTGTACCTTTGTAACTTGCTGTTAACTTATACTTGTTTTCCATCTAGCCCATGGAATATCAGCCTTTAAATACAATGGAAACATTAGTTTTCGCTATACAGTTTTATTGTCAAGGAAACATAAGCTAGTCTAGTTGCCATATCCATAAGGATAATCGCTGTGGACGGGCACGTAGTAGTCGCCAGCAACCATGTAGGCATTAGTGACAGCTCCCATTTTGACGGCACTGTAGGTGCTGCCGCAGCTCTTGGCGACGGCCTGTTGGTAGTCACCGCACTTCATGGTGGGGAAGTTGTCCTGGGTGACGGACTCTGCGTAGTAGATCACGGAGCGGCTGTGGGCGCAGGAGCCGGTCAAATCGACACCGCATCCAGGCTGGGACTTGCCGCCGTTGGGGTAGAAGGCGCCCTTGCCAATGGGCTTGAGGAAGCCCAGCATGCCGCCGTTGGTCTGAATGGACTCCACATAGTAAGCATCGTTGGAGTTCAGGCGCTTGTTGGGCGAGTCGTAGCTGTACAGGGGCATAGCAGGGTCCAGACCAATGATGGTGTGCACCTGACCGTTCTTGACGTTCTTGCCAGCGAATCCGGACACATGGGCGCCCAGGCTGTGGCCAATGATCATGGTGTTGTCCAGGGACAGACCGAAGTTGGTGCGCAAGAAGTTGATCAGGTCGGCAACCTGCTCACCGACACCGGGCACGGCCAAGACAGAGGAGGCGTAGTCAACCGAGCGGGCACGGCCCCAGTCAACGGTAATCATGTTCATGTCGCCGCGGGTGAACCAGGCGTTGCGCACACCGTAGTTGACATAGTCATCGGCGCTGGAGGTCCAGCCGTGGATGGTGAAACGAGTGGGGTTGTTGGGGTTGAAGTTCGAGGCGGAGATGCTAGCCTTGTTGGCCTTGATTTCCTGGCCAGAGTTCTGGTTGGACTTGGTGTACAGGTAGAAGGTGACGGGGTTCAGCAAGCTGCGCTCGCGCTCAGCATGGGCTTCCAAATAGGCATCGGCCTTATCCTTGTCCACCCACTCGAAGGTGCCATCGGCTTGGGGCACATACCAGCCGTTCTCGCCATTAATCTTGTGCTCAACGGCGCTGGCTGTCGAATAGAAAGAATTCGGATCGAACTTGGTAATTAAAATAGGACAGAACAGAACAGAGCTTCAGAGTCTTACCCGCAACAACGCAGAATGCGAGAGCCAAAAACAGTTTCATCATGCTACGCAGAAGACAATTTCAACTGATGTTCGGACCTGCCCCAGGCTGTAGCTTTATATAGACGCATCTTATCAAATCACGCGTATGCTCTGCAGACCCACTTGAGATTTGGCCAATTGATAGGCAATCACACCAGAGCTTACCCGGCTCCAATTATTAATAATATTTAATATTAAATATTTAAAATCTTTAACGTCGACTGATCAGTGAATTTTGCTGTTATCAATGCTCATACCCTTGAGCGATTGGAAAGGGGAGTGCAGTTGCTAAAGAAAATGTAGTCTCAGAATGGAAGGTAATGTATTGTACTCTTGAAATATGAGCTAAAAAAAATTAATGTGAGTCGATAACTATCGATATTCAGTATCAAAATAATCTATTTAAAAGCATATTTAAAGTGAGCCGAGAAAAGATTTCATTTTTCTAGAAATTTAAGAATGTTCACTTGAAATCCGAATTTGTAAACTATTGAGGTTAATGTTAATCGATAAATATTGATTTTAAATTTTATATTGAAAGAACTTTTCCATATACAAATTTGAGTTATAAAATGAATGAAGGTTAATATAGGTTTATGTTAAGACTATTGACATTTAATTATAGGGTATATCTTAGTCTCTTATTCACAATTACATATTCTTTAGTGTGCTCTTTGTTCTGACACCTGTTTGGTGTAAATGTGTTCTAAAAAGCTCTTACTACCAACTACGCCCATGTGCACTGATAGGTAGCAAAAACATTTTAAAGATAGCTGCATATTGTTAAGATTGATTTATTTGGCCAGATCAACTGTTGTGCTACAGGGAGCCATGTGCCTGAGACCTTAACCACATAGGCATTAGTAGCGGTGCTCTTGCAATGTCAAACTAAGCTCTCTCCATTGCAGCTACCTCAGTGTGGAAGGTCGCAGCAGGGCTGTAGGGCTTAAGCCCACAATTATGTGCACTTGTGTGCCGTTTACGGCAAATGTTTTGCGAAATGCGCACATTCCGATTACCAAGCTGGATCTTTTCGGGCACGGAGCATGTCTATGTCTGCGCTCCTACACTTTCCCTCCTCACACATAGAGCTCTGTTTGGTCATTTGCCCATTGGCTAATCGTCAATTGGCAGAGGACAATGAGAGCGGCTAATGGTCGCTCCATACTGGACATTTTTTTGGATTTATCGGTTTGCTGTGCATGTCGGGTAATGTTTCACTCCGCATTAGTCGCTTTTATCGCAGATTTGCAATCAAAAATGTCATCACGATGAGTTTCAAATCAATTCATTCACCTGCCAGCTCGAGCACCGTAAACAACTTGTCTCCTATTGTATTTATAGAACTAGCAAACAGAAAAACAAAGTAATCTCCACCTACCCCATCCCCCTATGCGGCGCTCCCACTAATCTCTGACGTGTGCTCGTGCACTCGATTCGTACCGTACGGACCCCAAGTGTTCGCTGAGAGCATTGTATCTTGATGGAGATAGGGCAAGGAGTACGTACACTATCACAAGCCAATTGTTTGCTTTCATACTTTATTTAGATCGACAGATAGCGGAACCTATTCAATTTTGCCAAAAGGCTCTTTGCTGTTAACAGGCACATAGAAGTTACCGCCCGACATGTAGGCATTGTAGTCGGCGCCCATGCGAATGCTGCTGTAGGTGCTGGCGCACTCCTTTCTGACCGCTGCCTCGTAGTCACTGCACTTGATGGAGCCGAAGTTATCCTGAGTGACGGCCTCAACGTAGTAAGTCACGGAGCGGCCATGAGAGCAGGAGCCGGTGGCATCTACACCGCAACCGGGTTGCTTCTTGCCTCCGTTGGGGTAGAAAGCGCCCTTGCCAATGGGTTTCAGGAAGCCCAGCTTGCCGCCGTTGGTCTGAATGGATTCCACGTAGTAGGCATCGTCGGAGGAGAGACGTTTGTTGGGCTTGTTGTAGCTGAACAAGGGCAGAGCAGGGTCTAGGCCAATAATGGTGTGAATGCGACCCTCGCCAACGGTCTTGCCGGCATACCCAGAAACATGGGCACCCAGGCTGTGGCCAATTACCATCAGGCGCTCCAGAGACATGCCATGATGCTCGTGCAGGTAGTTGATCATTTGACCCACTTTGGTGCCGGCGCCGGGTACAGCAACGACCGAGGAGGCATAGTCAACGGAGCGAGCACGGGCCCAGTCAACAATAATAATGTTGTAATCACCTCGGGATAACCAGGCCTTGGTGATTTCTTTGTTCATCGAGTCCGAGTGACGACCAGTCCAGCCGTGGATAACGAAGCGTGTGGCATGATCTTTGTTGAAGTGCGAGTCTCGAATGGATGCTTCCTTGTCACTAATGTGTTTGCCCTCGTGAGGGTTCGATCTAGTGTAAAGGTAGAAGGATACGGCATTTGTGCTTACACGTCCCTCCATTTGCTCCGCGTCAGCCAACAGCTGCTCGGCCTCGTCCAGATCCATCCACTCGAAGGTACCATCGATTTGGGGTACATACCAACCATTCTCACCATGAATACGATCCTGAATGGGTAGGGCGCTGACTGAAAAAGAGTGTTAGGGACCTACGAACTATCTCCCAACAGGAAGGAATTGTTTCTGACCTGCGGCCAGGAGTGCTGTTAGTACGAGAAATACTTTCATTCCGGTAACTCAAGTAGATTTGCTATATCGTTAGGACTTCTTTCCCTTTTATAGTCATTTTCAATTTGCGATAAGCTCTTAAGAACTTGCCCACATTTAATCATTAAACTCGTATGTTTTTGATGAGAAATCCAATTTGGCATTTCCCTTTTAACAACTCTGACGATGTAGTCATTAATCGATGATAACTTGCTATTCGGTTATATTCTATTTTATAAAGCGATAGCATTAGTTATTAACTGATAGAATATCAATTCTGGTCAATATATAGCGTACTCCAACGATCAAATCTAGATTGTTTGTAGATATGCTTTGCTTTCGGAAACCTATAAAAAGCTTAACCTATATAAAGGCAATAACCAAACCATGATACAATTCCCAGTTCAATGACTTTAAAGTATGATTTCCTTGTGAGAACGTCACGTTTATTGAGCTTATTGTGATAAGTCATTTAATGGACGTTGCCGAAGGGAGCCTTGCTGTTGACGGGAACATAGAAGTCACCCGCTACCATGTAGGCATTGCTATCAGCGCCCATGCGAACGCTGCTGTAAGTACTG